GCCGGCGCCGCCACAGCAGCAGCAGCCGCCGCCGCCGCAGCCACAGCCGCCGCCGGAGGGGGGCGCGGCGCGGGCCGGCGGCCCGGCGCGGCCCGTGAGCCTGCGGGAAGTCGTGCGCTACCTCGGGGGCAGCGGTGGTGCCGGCGGCCGCCTGACCCGTGGCCGCGTGCAGGGGCTGCTGGAGGAGGAGGCGGCGGCGCGGGGCCGCCTGGAGCGCACTCGCCTCGGAGCACTTGCATTGCCCCGCGGGGACAGGCCCGGACGGGCACCGCCGTCCGCCAGCGCCCGCGCGTCGCGGAGCAAGGTGAGCGCGCGGAGGAGCCGGGACGCTGCGCGGTGGGCAGGTGCGGGCGAAGTTGGTGGAGGGGGCGGGAGTCCCGGGTGGAACTGGGCGCCGGTGGCCGGGGGTTTTACGCGCTTTGCGCGCGTTCCCTGCGGGCTCCGCGCGTGGTGACCTTGGCAAGTGGTTTAATCTTGCCGAGCCTCAGTTTCCTCGGATGTGAATGCCACTTGATCACAGTAGCGACCCCTTGGGGTTGTTGAGCGACTTTAGTGAGATTTGGCTAGTGAAGGCTTTATTAACACAAAGCCTGGCACGGAGTGACTGCGTAAAAGTTATCCGTATTGTTATTAAAGGTGGCATTGGGTACACGACTCGGCCTGGGATCCCAGGATCTGGGTCCAGGATTAGAACAGCTGCTATGCTTCTCTCCCTGGCCCCAGAGAGGTGGAGAAGAGCGAGTGCTTGAGAAAGAAGAGGAAGAGGAAGATGAAGAAGATGATGATGATGATGATGATGTGTCTGAGGGCTCAGAAGTGCCCGAGAGTGACCGTCCTGCGGGTGCCCAGCACCACCAGGTTAATGGCGAGAGGGGCCCTCAGACTGCCAAGGAGAGGGTCAAGGAGTGGACGCCCTGTGGACCCCATCAGGGCCAGGATGAAGTGCGGGGATCTGTACCTGGCAGTGGCAGCCGCCAGGTGTTCTCCATGGCCGCCATGAATAAGGAAGGGGGATCAGGTAAGGACTGCTGGGAGGGTGTTCACTGGTCAGAGAGGAACCCCAGTCCCAAGACAATGCCACAGGCCCGTCCTTTTTCTTTCCTAGCCTCTGTTGCCACCGGGCCAGATTCCCCATCCCCTGTGCCTTTGCCCCCAGGAAAACCAGCCCTACCTGGGGCCGACGGGACCCCCTTTGGCTGTCCGTAAGTTGGGGCACTTGAGACATGGGGGTAGTGCCCAGGTGTATGTAACAACTAGAGGGGCATCAGTGTTTACTGGTACCCTCTGTTTTGATGCAGTCCCGGACGCAAGGAGAAGCCGACTGACCCCGTGGAGTGGACGGTGATGGACGTGGTGGAGTACTTCACGGAGGCAGGCTTCCCGGAGCAGGCCACAGCTTTCCAAGAACAGGTGAGTTCCCAGCCCAGGACTTTATACACATATGCACAGAGGACCATGGCAGGGATAGGCTCTGAACCTCCCTCTCTCTGTCCCTCCCAGGAAATCGACGGCAAGTCTTTGTTGCTCATGCAACGCACAGACGTGCTCACCGGTCTGTCTATCCGCTTGGGCCCCGCCCTGAAAATCTATGAGCATCATATCAAGGTGCTTCAGCAAGGCCACTTTGAGGATGATGACCCGGATGGCTTTTTGGGCTGAGCACCCAGCCTTGCCCTACCCCCACCCACTCCAACCCCCATCTTGCCCAAGACCCCCAGAGTCCATGAGCTGGATTGGATGGGGACACCCTCAGCCCTCATAACAGACTCCAGTGAGGGGTGTGCCCTTCTCTGCTCTCTCTCCCCTTTGTCTCAAACACACCTGCTCCCCAACACATGCCCTGCTCTACAGTAGTAGAGTATGGGGGGGACTGGGCCTGCTCATTCACCCCAAAAGGCCAACCCTCCCCTCAACCCAGGACATTTTTGAAAAAAAATAGGGGGGCCTCCCATCTCCCCAAGATTCAGTTCAGCCAGATGTTTCTTATATAAATGTTTTGTTCTGCCTGTTCATTTTGGTGGGTGGTCTTTCCTTCCTCCCCCACCACCCATGCCTGCTCCCAGCCTGCTGCCCCTGGCCTCCAGCCCCTGGGGAGCATCTGGGGTGGGTCCCTGGGTCTTCTCTCCTCTCCCTTCTGTCAATCATTGCTCCAGCTGGCTGTATTGCTTTTTAATATTGCACCGAAGGTTTTTTAAATAAAATTTTAAAAAAAGAAAAGGGGGAAAAAAAAAGTCCATTTTATGAATGGAGTGGGGGAGGGGTGTTGAAGAGCCTCCTAGGTACACTTAAGCAGTTTGAGGAGGAGAAAAAGTAGTGATCTGGCTGTCTGGACCGTGCTCTAGTCATTGCTCAGGGATAGCTATGTTCACCTAGCACACTGGACTCTGGGTTTGATTCCTTAGCACTGCAGAAAGAAGGGAGGAGGAGTAATTGCTGTAGGAGAATGGGAATATTTGCTTTATCTTCTGTCATTTCCCCATTCTCAGAACCTCCCGGCATACACAGTAGGTGCTCAAATATTTGTAGAGTGACTAACTGTTAACTCCATGTTTTATGAGCATTTTCTTGATTGTCCCCTCAGCAGTCCCATGAGGCAGAGAGCTCATAAAAACCCACTTTATAGGTAAGCCGTCTAGCTCAGCACAGCAAAAGATGCTCATGGTCACATGGGGGAGATCTGACACCTGTTGACTTTTTTTTAGTGGGGGTGCTGTACTTGGGATTGAGTCCAGGGGTGCTTTACCACCGAGCTACATCCCCTGCCCTTTTTTTATTTTTAATTTTTTGATTTTTTATTTATTTATTTATGTTTTGAGGCAGGGTCTCGTTTAAGTTGCCCAAGCTGGCTTTGAACTTGCAATCCTCCTGCTTCAGCCTTCCCAGTCACTGGGATTACAGGGGTGCACCACCTCACCCAACTACCTGTTGCCTTCTTTACCTAGAACCTTGAAATGTAATTGATGTACGTGGCTTCATAGCTAATGTTCTATACTGCCGGCCTTTGCATGCGGTAAATAATCCAGTCTACAAGTGTTAGGGGCAGAGATCTGTGCTGGGAGCAGGGTATGAACAGAAGCCACCGGCCATCAGATGAGGTGATGGAATAGGGAAAATCTTCCAAGCAAAGATTTTTTTATTGTTAGTAGGGACTTGTGATGTAGTAGTTGTCACTACCACTAAGTTCATGTGCTGTTTCTCAACTCCATTCGTTTAAAAATAAAAGCCAGGAAGCCACAGGGGTGGAGCCTGAGCATCCCTCTCTGCTTTGGGACACGCGTTAGAGGCCCCTCCTGCCTAGGAAACCAGCTGGGAGAGAAAAAGGTGCTGATCCTTGGCCACACCCCCAGGATGTAGCCGCCCCAGCGGGGCCTGGGTCTCCGCCCTCGGCGGGTCCCTCCTCCCCAGTGCCAGGTGCCGGGAGCGCGCGGATGCGCGGGGGCCCAGCGGGTGCGCAGCGCGGAGCGGGCGGAGCAGCGCGCCTCTCCCGCGTGTTGAAATTCAAACGAGGCGAACTCCGCCCGCCCGGCGCGGAGCCGGCCGAGAGGTCGAGGCAGGGCCGAGTTGGAGGCGGCCGCGCTCCCGGTCCAGGCAAGTCCCAGGCTTCCTGGGCTCCTGGGGCGGGATTGAGCCCGCGGCCAACGTGAGCTGCGGAGACTTAAAGAGTGCGGACCCCGCCCCCGGCCCCTGATGGCGTCGGAGCAGTGGTTCGTGGGGCCGCTCCCCCTGGGCCCTGGAGAAACGCCGCCCTTGGACGACTTGGAACCCCGGACGCAGCCCTGCAGAGATCCCTCGTGGTCAACGCCGCCCGGCAGGCCTGAGGACCCAACCGAGCTGGAGCCAGAGGATGCCCAGGGGCAGTTGCTGGAGGTCCCTGCCTCCATGCCTTCCCCCGAGCCTCCAGCCCCTGACCGGGGGCCGACCCCAGCTCGCCTACCCCTGGACGCTATGTTCAGCCCCATCATGGAACAGCTCCGCTACCTGCTTAAGAAGGCAGATGACTTCCAAAGCTACTTGCTCTACAGGTGATCTTGGATGGGGTCCTAGGTCCCCAGGCTTAGGGAGATGGGAGATGGTAGATGCTCCAAATCAAAGACAGGGTAGGCAGCCCCCACCAGGGCCACAAACTCAAAAGCATCAGGAGCCAGATGGAGAAAGTCAGTGAAGCTGGTTGATCAGGCATACATTTCTGAGAGTGAAGAGGACCGTAGGACTGGGGCTGGCGACTGTTAAGACCGCCCAGAGGTTGCCAAGTCCCTGGAACTTTTTCTCCCTAATTTTAAATGAACCCCGGGGCAGCTAAACAAAACCCAACTTAGGCAGATTTGGCCCCTGGGCTACCAGTTTGAGACCCTAGAGGACAATGTGATTCCCAGACCAGGGGAAAAGGGACTCTGATTGTGTCATTGCCCACTGGAATCCCCTGGGAGTCTTGTTGAAACCCTAAATCTCTGAGCTTCATCCTACAGGGAGTTTTGAGCAAAAGTCAGTTTGTGGGACTCAGGTGTCAGCATTTAGCAAGTGCTCCAAATCAAAGATTCCCTGAGAAAGGCCT